CGATGTTGATTGTTAGGTCAAGAGTGGGACAATCTTTTCCCGGAAGGAAAAGCAGCTCAGTCTTGTCAAGGTTGAGCTTGAGGTGGTGAGCAGACATCCACTGAGAGATGTCAGCTAGACAAGCAGAGATGCGTGCGACGACCTGGGTCTCTGAGCGGGGAAAGGACAGAATTAATTGGGTGTCATCAGCGTAGCAGTGGTATGAAAAACCATGCGGGCTAATGACTGATCCGAGCGAGTTTGTGTACAGGGAGAAGAGGAGGGGACCAAGAACAGAGCCCTGAGGGACCCCTGTAGTTAATTGACAAGGGTCGGACTCAGACCCTCTCCAAGTCACCCTGTAGGTACGGTCTTTCAGGTATGAGGTGAGGAGGGAAAGTGCAGAGCCTGAAACTCCAAGTTTTTGGAGAGTGCGAAGGAGGATCTGATGATTCACTGTGTCGAATGCAGCAGACAGGTCCAAAAGGATGATGACAGAGGAGAGGGATGCAGTTTTGGCAGTGTGCAGTTCCTCCGTGACAGCAATGAGAGCAGTTTCTGTGGAGTGACCTGCCTTGAAACCAGACTGGTGCGGATCCAGAAGGTTGTTCTGATGGAGATAGCAGGAGAGTTGTTTAAAGACAGCGCGTTCAAGTGATTTAGACAGGCACGGGAGTAGAGAGACAGGCCTGTAGTTTATAACATCAGACGGGTTGAGAGTGGGTTTCTTTAGGAGAGGGTTTACTCTTGCCTCCTTGAGACTGTTTGGAAAGTGACCAGAAGTTAGAGAAGTGTTGATGAAATGGGTGAGAAACGGTAGAATATCAGGAGCGATAGTCTGAAGGAGGTTTGAAGGGATAGGGTCCAGAGGACAGGTGGTAGGGCGGGCAGAGGTAATGAGGGTAAGAACCTCACTTGGAGAGAGAGGGGAAAAGGAGGTTAGTGTGTTGGTGGAAGGAGGGTCTGGTGACCCAGCGGTGAGTAGAGGTGAGTCAGAAAAAGAAGAGCGAATATCATCAACCTTTTTTTCAAAGTGGGTAACAAAGTCGCTTGACAGAAGTGAAGAGGGGGGAGGGGCTTTGGGGGGGTCCAAGAGGGTGGAGAAGATGGAAAATAGTTTTTTGGGATTGGAATAGGAAGATTGGATCTTATCTTGAAAGAAAGTGCCTGAGTGATCGAAGTAGAGAAAGAGGAGAGGAGAGCCTGATAGGTTAGGAGGTCGTCACGGTGTTTGGATTTCCACCGTTTCCGCTCTGCTGCCCAAAGGACGGTTCTATTAGCACGCAGTGCATCATTTAGCCAGGGAGCAGGAGGGGACTGACGAGTCTGAAGAGATGTGAGAGGACAGAGAGAGTCCAGAGAGGAAGAGAGAGTAGAGAGGAGAGTTTCTGCAGCAGAGTTTGGAGGCAGGAGTTGGAACGAGTCAGAGGAAGGGAGGGCTGAGAGCACCGATGAGGCAAAGGTAGAGGGGGAGAGGGAACGAAGGTTACGGCGGACAGGTGCAGGATGAGAAGAGATTAGTTTGTTATGTTTGGAAAGGGGTAGAGAGAATGAAATGAAGAAGTGATCGGATGTGTGGAGCGGGTTTACAGAGAGGTTAGAAGTAGCGCAGTTCCTTGAGAATATGAGATCAAGGACATTGCCAGCTTTATGAGTCGGTGGGGACGGAGACAGTGAGAAAGCAAAGGCGGTTAACAGAGATGTTAGTTCGTCTATCTTCCCCGTCTGGAGGTTGAAGTCTCCGAGAAGTACAGCGGGAGGGCCAGTTTCAGGGACGAGTGAGAGGAGATGATCTAATTCCTCCAAGAAGTCCCCCAAGGCGCCTGGTGGACGGTAGAGAACAACAATGGTTAACTGTATAGGATGGGTTACTGTGACGGCATGGAATTCAAAGGTGGAAGGAGTGAAGTTAGGTAGCTTGAAGAGGGAAAAGCTCCATTTGGGAGAGAGCAGGAGACCAGTGCCACCTCCTTTGCCAGTGGGTCTGGGTGTATGGGAGAAGGAATATGCTGTGGAGAGAGCTGCTGGGGTGGATGTGTTGGATGGAGTAATCCAGGTCTCAGTGAGAGCAAGGAAATCCAGAGACTGCAGGGAGGCGTAGCCAGAGATGAAGTCAGCCTTAGGAACAGCTGACTGGCAATTCCACAGGCCACCTGAAACTAGATGTTGGATCTCAGTGGAGCATGTGGGATAGACGAGAGCAGGCCGGTTATATCGATTACGAGATACACGGGGCCAGGGATAATTGCGAGAAGACACATGAACAGGAATGGAGAAAATACACATGATTATAGCATGAGGGGCTAAACAACCAAATAAAATAAAACACCAGCGATACTTAGCTCAATCAAAGTAGGAGTTGCCTCCTCTTTGCCTCCCTCGTGACTCCTGTAGGACTCTAATGTCTTTGTCAGTCTTTGACTCCAGCAGGACTCTAATGTCTTTGTCAGTCTTTGACTCCAGCAGGACTCTAATGTCTTTGTCAGTCTTTGACTCCCGCAGGACTCTAATGTCTTTGTCAGTCTTACTCCCGCAGGACTCCAATGTCTTTGTCAGTCTTACTCCTGCAGGACTCTAATGTCTTTGTCAGTCTTTGACTCCCGCAGGACTCTAATGTCTTTGTCAGTCTTTGACTCCAGCAGGACTCTAATGTCTTTGTCAGTCTTTGACTCCCGCAGGACTCTAATGTCTTTGTCAGTCTTACTCCCGCAGGACTCCAATGTCTTTGTCAGTCTTACTCCTGCAGGACTCTAATGTCTTTGTCAGTCTTTGACTCCCGCAGGACTCTAATGTCTTTGTCAGTCTTTGACTCCCGCAGGACTCTAATATCTTTGTCAGTCTTACTCCCGCAGGACACCAATGTCTTTGTCAGTCTTACTCCCGCAGGACTCCAATGTCTTTGTCAGTCTTACTCCTGCAGGACTCTAATGTCCTTGTCAGTCTTTGACTCCCGCAGGACTCCAATGTCTTTGTCAGTCTTACTCCCGCAGGACTCCAATGTCTTTGTCAGTCTTACTCCCGCAGGACTCCAATGTCTTTGTCAGTCTTACTCCTGCAGGACACCAATGTCTTTGTCAGTCTTACTCCCGCAGGACACCAATGTCTTTGTCAGTCTTACTCCCGCAGGACTCCAATGTCTTTGTCAGTCTTACTCCTGCAGGACTCTAATGTCCTTGTCAGTCTTTGACTCCCGCAGGACTCCAATGTCTTTGTCAGTCTTACTCCCGCAGGACTCCAATGTATTTGTCAGTCTTACTCCTGCAGGACTCTAATGTCTATGTCAGTCTTTGACTCCCGCAGGACTCTAATGTCTTTGTCAGTCTTACTTCCGCAGGACTCTAATGTCTTTGTCAGTCTTAGCCTGTCTGATTTAAAATCACAATTTCAGTCAGATCAACTACTTCTTCATATATTGTGTTCGTTTTGTTGTGTTTTGTTCTTGTTCTTCATTTGTTATTTACGGGCGGCTGGCTTTTAGGTGCAATACCGCCCCCTGGATTATAGTGTAATACTGCCCTGAGTGACAGACTTTTTTCCCACTCGTAAAAAAAGGCGTATTCGCCGTGTGACAGCATGTGCCGAACCGTGACGTCCGAACCGTGACGGTACGGGACGAATACGGATACCGTTACACCCCTACAAGGCACTGTTTCCATCCCGGGCGTAACTTACTGACATTATAGTTGCCGCTGCAGTAGCCGCTTCCCCACGACAGCAAATCTTTAGCCTGTTTTTTTGGTGGTCCCGAAGCCATACGCGGCAGTCTCCATGCCGTTAAAGAGGTCAGGAAACCCATGGGTGCTCAGTAGTGGCCATTGGAGTCAATCTGCTGTTTATCTGAGTCCCGGTCTCTGGGCAGTACTTCCTGATCTACACAGGAACGTAGAGAAGATTCTTCTTCTCAAGCGGACGGCAGGAGCGGGGCTGTCAGCATCAGCTTGTAGATGGTATTTTAAACTCGATGCGCTCTGAAACTACGGGGCGGCCGAGGACAAAAAATACACATGCGTTAATCGCGTTAAAATAATTAGTGGCGTCAAATATTTTTTGCGTTAACGCGTTATTAACGCGTTAATGTGACAGCCCTAGTTTTTTTTATATATATATCCTTCTTACTTAAAGTAAACGGTTATTTTGTGTTTTTTTGTAATTATTGAGTGTTGTTGTATTTTAATGTGTGTTTTTTTTATACCTCAGGACTGTGAGAAACAGTATTTTGATCTTTCTGTGTGTACAAACATATTTTGAGATTGACAATAAAGTTGACTTTGACTTTGATATATATATATATATATTTGGGCGAGTATATCAACACTCCTTTCCTCAGGCTCAGGACAGAGATCTCGGTGTGTGTGCGTTTCCTGTTAAAGTGTCTATAAACTGTATATAAGTATATATACAGTTTATAGACAGTATACTTATCTGTTAATGATTTATTCGTGAACCTACAGATGACTTTCAACATGAATCATCATAAAGATATCATTAAGTGTTTTATTAACATGCAACCTGGCCCTGCTCACACACTTCACTCAGTTTCCTTTTCCAGTGAGTTTATTTCACATAAAAAACATGCCATAAGATATACCTTCAACATATACTCTGTACTACTTTACATGAATACATTGCATTCAAATATGAATGCAAATGAACAGCAGCTAGATAACAAAATGTGCACATTTCTCCTTTAAGGCTTTGGTTGCTGCTGGAGAGGTGTTAGGGTTAGGGTTAGGGTTAGCCCTAACCCTAACCCTAACCCTAACCCACTTTAACTTCATAAAGTTCATTTTTAGAAACATTCTACAATTAATACATTTTGTTTTCTTTTTAAGCATTTTTTTCATCTCCATCTCTCCATAAATATAGGTTTATATTTCCCAGTGTAAACATTAAGGTGACATCTGTAAGTCATGTGGATATATAACACATTATAATCAACACTATGAACACAGTCACATGTATTACATTTTGAATCAGCACATGGTTTTAGGAATCATTCACACTTTAGTTATTAGACCTACCAGCCAACAGTTTATAACGGAGCACATGTTTACACATGTTTCGTAGCTTGGACATTTGCAGTCCGTACATGACAGGGTTCATTAGTGGCTGTATGATGAGAAAATACAGTGACAGAATAATACGCAGCGCCCTGGGAACACCGCTCTTATCAAATCTACTCTGAAGTACTTCAAAGCCGCAGCTACTGACAGCTTTCTGTCTGGTCTGTTTGGAGCCAGAGAAACACGCTCTGAGGATCCTCATGTACGAGAAGAGGATTGGAAACAAAGGGACAAAAAGAGTTAAAGCAATGGTAAAATATCCATAAATGTTGTTCACCTGAGTGTCAGAACATGCCAGCTTCACAACAAGGTAGTTGTTACAATACAGACTGTTAACGATGTTTCCACACAGTGTCAAACGGATGCTCAAAGATAAAGTCATCAATGATTTCACAAAGCAGTACAACCAAACCAGAATAATGAGGATAAGCACCTTGTTAGAAGTCATACGTGTGTTATATTGCAGAGGACAACAGATAGCAAGATATCTGTCATAAGACATGACGGCTAAATTAAAAAATTCCACACACACATATGTATACACAGAATAAACCTGCAGGAAGCAGAGCGGAGCAGAGACAGTGTGAATGTCAGAGAGGATCTGAACCAGAAGGAATGGAAACAACCCTGAACTACCATACAGTTCATTTACAAACAGGCTGCACAGAAAAAGGTACATAGGTTCATGTAAGCTCCTGTTCACACAGATAACCACAATCAGAGACGTGTTGGCAACAACAATCACAATGTACAACATGGCAGTTATCATGAAACACAAGTACCTCAAATATCCAATATTCAAATAAGCTCCAAGAATGAAATAGGATACAGTCAGTGAAGTTGAATTGGACATCATTCTTAGAGGTTAAACGTTAGTATATCTGAGCACATGTGAACTTCACAGTCTTAACTTACCACCCCCCCCGGAGTGCGTCAGGAACTGTAAATGAATGCAACATGAGCACATCACACACAGTGCAGTGTCTCTCACCTGCTGTGCTTCAGACTGCTGCAGTCCCTTCTGTCAGCTGCAGAGACTTCTGCTGCTTTAAAGCTTCCAGAACACCAGAACCCAACAGGCCAGATCCCCTTACCATCAGGCCCCCTTACCATCCCATCAAATCAAGATCAAACTAAAGTTACACCCAAACAGATGCATTAGAGATCTTATGACTTTATTTCTGGGAGCTGCAGGTCACCAACCTCGCTGCTTCTAAGGGCCGGCGAACTGTCCTCAGAGCGAGGGTCTATGTTAATGTCCGCAAACCAATTGACCCAAGACTCTCCCATAGAGCGTATAGTGAGGGCTGGTTCAGACTGACCTGGGACCAGCTGCTAGTTCTGCTGCTATAGAATGAAGACTCTCCTCTTATAGTGAGGGCTGGTTCAGACTGACCTGGGACCAGCTGCTAGTTCTGCTGCTATAGACTGAAGACTCTCCTCTTATAGTGAGGGCTGGTTCAGGCTGACCTGGGACCAGCTGCTAGTTCTGCTGCTATAGACTGAAGACTCTCCTCTTATAGTGAGGGTTCAGACTGACCTGGGACCAGCTGCTTGTTCTGCTGCTATAGACTGAAGACTCTCCTCTTATAGTGAGGGCTGATTCAGACTGACCTGGGACCAGCTGCTAGTGCTGCTAATATAGACTGAAGACTCTCCTCTTATAGTGAGGGCTGGTTCAGACTGACCTGGGACCAGCTGCTAGTTCTGCTGCTATAGACTGAAGACTCTCCGCTTGTAGTGAGGGCTGGTTCAGACTGACCTGGGACCAGCTGCTAGTTCTGCTGCTATAGAATGAAGACTCTCCTCTTATAGTGAGGGCTGGTTCAGACTGACCTGGGACCAGCTGCTAGTGCTGCTGCTATATACTGAAGACTCTCCTCTTATAGTGAGGGCTGGTTCAGACTGACCTGGGACCAGCTGCTAGTTCTGCTGCTATAGACTGAAGACTCTCCGCTTGTAGTGAGGGCTGGTTCAGACTGACCTGGGACCAGCTGCTAGTTCTGCTGCTATACTGAAGACTCTCCTCTTACAGTGAGGGGGTTTCAGGCTGACCTGGGACCAACTGCTAGTTCTGCTGCTATAGACTGAAGACGCTCCTCTTGTAGTGAGGGCTGGTTCAGGCTGACCTGGGACCAGCTGCTAGTTCTGCTGCTATAGACTGAAGACTCTCCTCTTGTAGTGAGGGCTGGTTCAGGCTGACCTGGACCAACTGCTAGTTCTGACTGCTATAGACTGAAGACTCTCCTCTTATAGTGAGGGCTGGTTCAGCTGACTGGGACCAGCTGCTAGTTCTGCTATAGACTGAAGACTCTCCGCTTGTAGTGAGGGCTGGTTCAGACTGACCTGGGACCAGCTGCTAGTTCTGCTGCTATACTGAAGACTCTCCTCTTACAGTGAGGGCTGATTCAGACTGACCTGGGACCAGCTGCTAGTGCTGCTGCTATAGACTGAAGACTCTCCTCTTATAGTGAGGGCTGGTTCAGGCTGACCTGGGACCAGCTGCCTAGTTCTGCTGCTATAGACTGAAGACTCTCCTCTTATAGTGAGGGCTGGTTCATGACTGACCTGGGAACAGCTGCTAGTTCCTGCTGCTATAGACTGAAGACTCTCCTCTTATAGTGATGGGCTGAGTTCAGGCTGACCTGGGACCAGCTGCTAGTTCGTGCTGCTATAGACTGAAGACTCTCCTCTTATAGTGAGGGCTGGTTCAGACTGACCTGGGACCAGCTGCTAGTTCTGCTGCTATAGACTGAAGACTCTCCTCTTATAGTGAGGGCTGGTTCAGGCTGACCTGGGACCAGCTGCTTGTTCTGCTGCTATAGACTGAAGACTCTCCTCTTACAGTGAGGGCTGATTCAGACTGACCTGGGACCAGCTGCTAGTGCTGCTGCTATATACTGAAGACTCTCCTCTTATAGTGAGGGCTGGTTCAGACTGACCTGGGACCAGCTGCTAGTTCTGCTGCTATAGACTGAAGACTCTCCGCTTGTAGTGAGGGCTGGTTCAGGCTGACCTGGGACCAGGTGCTAGTTCTGCCTGCTATAGGACTGAAGACTCTCCTCTTACAGTTGAGGGCTGATTCAGATGACCTGGGACCAGCTGCTAGTGCTGCTGCTATAGACTGAAGACCTTCTCCTTATAGTGAGGGCTGGTTCAGACTGACCTGGGACCAGCTGCTAGTTCTGCTGCTATAGACTGAAGACCTCTCCGCTTATAGTGAGGGCTGGTTTTCAGGACTGACCTGGGACCCAGCTGCTAGTTCTGCTGCTAAGACTGAAGACTCTCCTCTTGTAGTGAGGGCTGTTCAGACTGACCTGGACCCAGCTAGTAGTTCTGCTGCTATAGACTGAAGACTCTCTCTATAGTGAGGGCTGGTTCAGACTGACCTGGGACCAGCTGCTAGTTCTGCTGCTATAGACTGAAGACTCTCCTCTTGTAGTGAGGGCTGGTTCAGGCTGACCTGGGACCAGCTGCTAGTTCTGCTGCTATAGACTGAAGACTCTCCTCTTACAGTGAGGGCTGGTTCAGGCTGACCTGGGACCAGCTGCTAGTTCTGCTGCTATAGACTGAAGACTCTCCTCTTATAGTGAGGGCTGGTTCAGGCTGACCTGGGACCAGCTGCTAGTTCTGCTGCTATAGACTGAAGACTCTCCTCTTACAGTGAGGGCTGGTTCAGGCTGACCTGGGACCAGCTGCTAGTTCTGCTGCTATAGACTGAAGACTCTCCTCTTACAGTGAGGGTTCAGACTGACTGGAACCAGCTGCTAGTTCTGCTGCTATAGACTGAAGACTCTCCTCTTACAGTGAGGGCTGGTTCAGACTGACCTGGGACCAGCTGCTAGTTCTGCTGCTATAGACTGAAGACTCTCCTCTTATAGTGAGGGCTGGTTCAGGCTGACCTGGGAACCAGCTGATAGTTCTGCTGCTACTGAAGACTCTCCTCTTGTAGTGAGGGCTGGTTCAGGCTGACCTGGGACCAGCTCCTAGTTTCTGCTGCTATAGACTGAAGACTCTCCTCTGTAGTGAGGGCTGGTTCAGGCCTGACCTGGGACAGCTGCTAGTTTCTGCTGCTATAGACTGAAGACTCTCCTCTTGTAGTGAGGGCTGTTTCAGGCTGACCTGGGCCCAGCTGCTAGTTCTGCTGCTATAGACTGAAGACTCTCCTCTTACAGTGAGGGGCTGTGTTCAGACTGACCTGGGACCAGCTCCTAGTTCTGCTGCTATAGACTGAAGACTCTCATCTTATAGTGAGGGCTGGTTCAGACTGACCTGGGACCAGCTCCTAGTTCTGCTGCTATAGACTGAAGACTCTCCTCTTATAGTGAGGGCTGGTTCAGGCTGACCTGGGACCAGCTCCTAGTTCTGCTGCTATAGACTGAAGACTCTCCTGTTATAGTCAGGGCTGTTTCAGGCTGACCTGTGACCAGCTGCTAGTTCTGCTGCTATAGACTGAAGACTCTCATCTTATAGTGAGGGCTGGTTCAGGCTGACCTGGGACCAGCTGCTAGTTCTGCTGCTAAAGACTGAAGACTCTCCGCTTGTAGTGAGGGCTGGTTCAGACTGACCTGGGACCAGCTCCTAGTTCTGCTGCTATAGACTGAAGACACTCCTCTTATAGTGAGGGCTGGTTCAGGCTGACCTGGGACCAGCTGCTAGTTCTGCTGCTATAGACTGAAGACTCTCCTCTTGTAGTGAGGGCTGGTTCAGGCTGACCTGGGACCAGCTGCTAGTTCTGCTGCTATAGACTGAAGACTCTCCTCTTGTAGTGAGGGCTGGTTCAGACTGACCTGGGACCAGCTGCTAGTTCTGCTGCTATAGACTGAAGACTCTCCTGTTATAGTCAGGGCTGGTTCAGGCTGACCTGTGACCAGCTGCTAGTTCTGCTGCTATAGACTGAAGACTCTCCTCTTACAGTGAGGGCTGGTTCAGGCTGACCTGGGACCAACTGCTAGTTCTGCTGCTATAGACTGAAGACTCTCCTCTTGTAGTGAGGGCTGGTTCAGGCTGACCTGTGACCAACTGCTAGTTCTGCTGCTATAGACTGAAGACTCTCCTCTTATAGTGAGGGCTGGTTCAGGCTGACCTGGGACCAGCTGCTAGTTCTGCTGCTATAGACTGAAGACTCTCCTCTTGTAGTGAGGGCTGGTTCAGACTGACCTGGGACCAGCTGCTAGTTCTGCTGCTATAGACTGAAGACTCTCCTCTTGTAGTGAGGGCTGGTTCAGACTGACCTGGGACCAGCTGCTAGTTCTGCTGCTATAGACTGAAGACTCTCCTCTTGTAGTGAGGGCTGGTTCAGGCTGACCTGGGACCAGCTGCTAGTTCTGCTGCTATAGACTGAAGACTCTCCGCTTATAGTGAGGGCTGGTTCAGGCTGACCTGGGACCAGCTGCTAGTTCTGCTGCTATAGACTGAAGACTCTCCTCTTACAGTGAGGGCTGGTTCAGGCTGACCTGGGACCAGCTGCTAGTTCTGCTGCTATAGACTGAAGACTCTCCTCTTATAGTGAGGGCTGGTTCAGGCTGACCTGGGACCAGCTGCTAGTTCTGCTGCTATAGACTGAAGACTCTCCTCTTACAGTGAGGGCTGGTTCAGGCTGACCTGGGACCAGCTGCTAGTTCTGCTGCTATAGACTGAAGACTCTCCTCTTACAGTGAGGGTTCAGACTGACCTGGAACCAGCTGCTAGTTCTACTGCTATAGACTGAAGACTCTCCTCTTACAGTGAGGGCTGGTTCAGACTGACCTGGGACCAGCTGCTAGTTCTGCTGCTATAGACTGAAGACTCTCCTCTTGTAGTGAGGGCTGGTTCAGACTGACCTGGGACCAGCTGCTAGTTCTGCTGCTATAG